ACTCCTCCTGGAGACCAGAAGGCCTTTAGAGCTAGCGGTACCTCCAGTCCTTCTCTGGCAGGGTCCCTTCAACCTGATTCCTTCCCATTTAGCCTGCACGTAGTTCTGTCTTCCTGCCATAACCTCCTCTCTCATCGGAGTCCTTTTCCCTTTGTAAGAGAGGAATCAGAGGGACGTGCCCAGAAGCACAGGTCCTGCAGCGTGCAGGCCAAGATGGGCACTCCTGAGCTCAGCCGAGGTAGGCAAGGGGTGGAGGGAAAGGGGGGAGAGATGAAAGAGCAAGGCGGAGGGGCAGGCAGAGGCTGCATTGGGGTGCGGGGTGGGGCAGCAGGGGCTGCCTGCTGCTGACCTGGCTGCAGAGAGCATCTGGCCATGCTCTAGCCAGCCCCACCCGCCAGACGGGCTCTCCAGTAGCACTCACTGCCCAACAGCCTGGCGTCCCACTGATCCCGGCATAATTCCACCTGTTGCCCCAAAGCACTTACTCTATTCCCATGGCATTCTGCCTGCCTCTCCTAGGTTCTCAGTCCTGTGTAGAAAATAAAAGCTTGAAGTTGGCAGGAGTGTGGTCATTCTGATGAGGCAGAGTCCAGCCTAGCACAGGAACATTTGGGACACTGAGACAATCGGGTTTTGGACAGGGCTGGGGGAGGCATCTCACTGAGCCAACGGTGAGGGTGGGAGCTGTGGAGAAGGTCTCTTGAGGCCTTCATGAAATGCGAGTCAGTCTGCCAGACCAAGAGAAGAGTTGCCCAGCAGTGTGTGTTGCCTGGGGAGAGAGGCGGCTGCTGTGCTGGGCACACCTGCCTAGCTCCTTCTCAGGCCACATGAAGATAAACTGGGTATATAGATTATAATCAACTCCATCTCCTCACCCCAGCCTCCAGGGCATCTTCCTTCACCCAGCCTGTTGCCCACCTGCCGATTACATCTAGGTCGAGTGAGGCCAGCATGCGGGGTGTTGCTTTAGTTCAGGCTTGTTCCATGAGCCCCTCCCTGCCACACCCACCTCCTCACCTTTACCTCTGAGGCTCACTGAGCTTTTGCCAGGGGTGCCAGTGGGGTGCGGTGTGGCATTACTACCCAGGCTAGGAAATCCCACTGGGAAAACTTTGTCAACTTGCCTCCCTACCCAGTGGGAAAATAGCTTTCATATTCTTGGTCCTCTAGCCCGGATACAGAGTCCCCTAAAGTGTCCCAGCTACCCAGGGTGGCTGCCTTGGAGAGGGCGAACCTGGCTGAGTGAAGGGAGGCACACCAGTCTCTGATGGGACCTGCCACCATGGGAACACGTCAGTGTCTAGCTAGTGCTTGCGAGTGAGAGACTAGCCAAATGTGTCTGATGACAGAGGGAAGCCGAGCTGGGCTGGAGAACTGAGGTAATTCTGACTGGAGAGAGAAGGAAGGAGAGTCTTGGTCTAACTCCAGAATAGCCTAGGACTGTGGCCTCATCAGTAGGCAGATGGCACACCTTCAGTGACAGCCGAGGCAGTGAAAAGGTCACTGGTCTCAGTGCCAGCTACCATTTGGCTCTTTGACTCATAATGTAAGAACTCAGATCCCTCAGATGGAAAAGTGAAAGTTGTAACACAAGACTTTCTAGTTGTTGTAATTGTAGAGGGTCATCAGGCCCCTTGACGTAGGCCTCCATGGCAGGTGCTGAGCAGCTAGCTGTAGCCTCTGCTCAAGTGCCAGGTCTGGAATTATTCAGGCTTCTCATGGCACTTAGCTGCACAGGAATCTTGACACACCTGGCAGGCACCTACCTGCAGCCAGTGGAGTGGGAGCAAACTGGAGAGGCAGGTCGGAGAGGAAGAGCAGGGATCCGGGCTGGTAGCAGAGAGTGTCAAAAGGATGGTGAAACAGCTTGGGTCGCATCACCAGGAAAGGGGGATTTGTGGCCCCCAGAAGTCCCGTACTATCCCACATCTGGGGACAAAATTAGCAGTCAGTTGTGCCCCATCCCATCTTCAGTCACGCCAACTTAACCTCTTCCCAGCTTCCTCATTCTGAGGATACCGCACCCTCCGTGAGCAACAGAGGATCCCAGCGGAAGTCTACGTAGGACTAAGGAGGGTTTTCCCTGTCTTCAAGCCATTCCCCCTTTCAGTCTTCTCTGCTTTGCCCTCCTCAAGTGACATCTCCACCCCAGGTCCTAAGGTAGTTCTCTACTCCCGGGATCATTGGACAGCTGCTCTGAGTGGTCTGTTTCTGTGCTAGCTGCTGGCACAGGTTGAGCCCTAGGCAGCACTGGATTCTTCCAGGCCGGGCCCAGAAGTCATCCTGAAGATGGTGCTGCTGAAGCCAGCTTCATTCTTCTGCAGCAGCTGCAGGTCTTGGTGACCTGTTGGCATGGTGGACATAGTTTCCCAGTCCAGGTGGGTCACAGATGGGAGAAAAATGTCTCTGGGGAGGAGTGAGCCATAGAAAAAGAAGAGCCAGGAATAGACACGAGTGCCATGAGAGCTAAAGGAATGTCCATCACTGGTCCTCAAGGCTGCTTCGTGATCCCCTGCTGCAGCTTCCTCCCCTCGGGGCTGTACAGCTCGTTTCCATGGAAGGGGGTTCACAAGCCCTCCCACCCATTCGCAAGACCCTGTTCGCTCTTCTCCCAACTGGCTGGTTCTGTCCTAAATATGCCAACGACATGGCCCTTACCCCACAATCATCTGCCTGGTCACATGCTTCCCCTACAAGAGTGGCTGTAAGAGGGTGTGTGAGCCTGAGGGTGATCTAGAGACTGCATCTCGGCTCCTCTCGGCGGGAGACATGTAGGCCCTGTTCCTTCACTGACAGTTATTAACAATGTGCCGTCCATGTGCCAAACTGGGAATAAAACACTGGCCAAAACGCAGCCCCTGCCTCCTAGGAGCTCACCACGTAGTCAGGGCGACAGACATTTGTCCTCTAGGTCTCAGGGCTGTGGGGAGGGCACCCAGAATATCTTTTCCCTGCTTCTTGGCATGTCCACATTCCCCATGTCCTTCAAGGCCCAGCTCAAAGGCTGTCTCCTCCTTGATGCTCTCGTTATGTAGCCACTGAGCTCTGGTCTCTGCTGCTTCTGAATGAATGTTCACAGCACAGTTACTTGTATCTCTCTCATGAACTCATCACTTTCTGCTTGTATTAGATGTGTTTTGTATGCATGGTTGGTCTTCTCTATTAGACTCTACGTTTCTTGAGGGCAAAGCTTGTCTTATACAATTCTGTATCCCTCAGAGTACCCCACAAGTACCATGCACATAATAGGTGTTCAAAAAAATACTCGTATTTCCACATTAGGATGCTCGTTGGATGAATGAAGCTTTGTTTGTGGAGCTACTGGGAGTTCCCAGATTTAAAACAAACATTTTTATCACTAACTTAAAACTCCTATTAGGATTTTCCCAATTAACATGAAGCTCGAACTCAATGCAAGTAGCATAGAATTCTTAAGTACTTCGTTTAACTGTGTGCAACCACTTATGTTTTGTTATAATATTATATAAAGATTATAATTCAGTATTCAGTTGTGTCTGTATCGTGATATATAAATGCTCACATCCTCTAGGAATGTCGAGGAAGGGAAAGCATCTTCTGCATTAGTGGTGTTGGGCTTTGCACCCTCCCTAGATGCTGTGTGGTAATGTTAAAACACAGTCTACAGCTGAAGGGAGGAGATAAACCAGCCAGAAGCAGCCAGTCTTGGGTAAGAAGACCCAGGCTTCTCCCATTAGAATCAGCCTACAAAATCATCCCACTTAGGAGAATGGATTTCTTAGGGTGGTTCCATAGAGTAGTGGTTACCACATCTGCTTTACGTGCAGAATGTCCTGGATTCACTCCCCAACGGGGTGCGATGCCTGGGTGTGTCTCAGGAGCGCGTAGGAGGAGACGCCCCGACATCAGAGACCCAGTTCTTAAGGTAACATCCGTGTGGAAGGGGGCGGCGGGGTGGGGCGCGGTAGGGAATAAAAAATAAATAAATAAAAAAGAATAGATTTGCCCAGAGATAAAATTACTTCAAAAATTAGGAAAAGGTCTCTCACAGTGGCTAAGGAACATCTTTTAAAGTATCAGAAATGATGGCTGGGACTTAGGATAACGCTTACTAGGCGCAGGCCCCTGGCTAAACTGACACATGAATTGTCTTATTTAATTTTCAAAACCCTGAGGTGGTACTTTTATGACCTCCAGTGTGTAAACAAGGAAACTGAGGTTCAATAGATGTAATAGCTTTGCCCAAAGTCACATACCCAAGTTGCTCTAAGTCTAGATCCTGAGCTGAATTTTTGCTCAAACCATCCAGTTCCCTTTCTTGCTTCTTGCACTTGGTGTGCAGTGAGGGGCAATGAACCCATATCCGCTAGAAGAGCCTTAGGGATCATCTGCGTCAACTTCCTTACTCTAGAGAGGAGAGAGAAGGGGACTTGTCCCTCGGACCACACAGAGCCAGGGGATGCTCTGCAACGGAATCGCAACGAGCTCTAGAATTCCAGCCCAAGCCCCGTTTTACAAGAAGCGCAGGAGGGTGAGGCCCCAGGCGCGCTTGTTGCCGCGCTCGCTGCTACCTGCACGTTCGCCCGCGGCGCCCGGCCCCCGCCCGGGGAGTACCTGTCAGCGGCGCGCGGGCCCTCGGCCGGGGGCGACAAGGCGCTGACGCGGAGCAAGCGGGGCTAGCGCGCGCGGGCCGGAGACGGACACTGACTGGCCTCGCCGGGCCCCTTCGCCTCAGAGCGCGGAGGCCCCAGCAGCGCGCGGACGCCGGGACGCCGAAGAGAGTTGGGGAGCGCCGGTCCCGGGAGGCAGGGCCGCCTGGCCTCCTCCCCTCGAGCCCCTTACTTTGTCCCCTCAACCGGCGGCAGACCCCGCCCTAGCGCCAGGGAACCTGAAATGGAGCAACAGCTTGGGCTCAACAGTTCAGCGGTGGGGACTCTGAGGGGCGAGGTTCCCATGGAAACGAGAGGAGGCTCTTTGCGCCTGCGCGGACGCGCTAGGCACTCTGGGAAATGTGGTTTCCGGGCTCTCACCCGGTGGCGAGAGGAACGAACGCAAGATGGCGCGCGAGCGTCGCGGTCGGTTGAGTGCCGCTGGGTACCACGGCCCCAGCCCCACGGCGCCTTGCGGGCACAGGAGAGGCCGCGGAGGCCTGAAAGGTAGTTTCTCTTGGCAGCCGCGGTTCTGAGGCGTCTGCAGGGTGCAGCGGCGGGGGCGCGGTCTCTTTGGCACGTTCGGTTATGTCTTTTGAAAACTTGTCTCGACTAGGGGCCGCCCTGGCTCCGGGCCTGTCCCAGGCAGAGCAGAGCCGGGCCAACGGAGGAAGAACGTTCTGAAGGTGGGAGCTGGCCCGGGAGAGTCCGGCTGCGCGAAGGACGTGAGCGCCTTGTCGCACAAGTGTTCAAGTCGGGGCTCCCGAGAGGTTCCTGTACCAGGTGGGAGTTGGATTGGGACTCCGTGAGCATGGGTCGTCCCGACCGTCCCTCCCTCTCGGGAGCTCCCAGGGCTTCCGGACCCCTGGCCTGCCTCCCTAGGGCAGAGCCTTGAACTCTCCACTCCCGAATTAGGTCTCTGGACTGAGATCTAGAAACCTAGGATCTGCTTCAGGCTCCATCAGAGACTCAGTTACTTCTCTGGGCCTCCTTTCCTTATTTCTAAAACTGGCGATTATAATGCCTGCACTTTCTCCTCTGGGAGTGTTGCAGGCTTCATATGAGATGTCATTGATGTGTAGGCTGAACAGTCCTTTATGGGCATAAACAGTCGTTCCCATTTGCTGTATATTGGTGCAACTTCTTGGAAGGAAATTAGGCAATGTCTTTTAAAATTAAAAAAAGCACATAACTTTTGCCTCAGCAATTCTAGAAATATGTCCTACAGATTTAGTGGCCACGTATGCACAGAAAGTATATATACAAGGGTACTTACTTGGAATGGAAAAAAATACGTAAACAACCCAAATGTTCATTGGTAGATGAACACCGAAGTAAAGGTGGATTCCATAAAATAGATTATGTGGTTATTTTAAAAATAAGGCAAAGCAGCAGCTCCCCTTGCTCAAATAAGTGGTTTTTATTCTTAAAAGAAAAATAAGGTAGAGCTTTTTGTACTGATGTGCAACTCTGTGATATGAAAAAATTTCAAAGTGCAGAATAGTATGTTAATGCTATAATTTAATATATATTTTTAAGAATACACAAGTATATTTGATGATATAAGCATGGTATGTCTCTGGAGGGACTCAAGAAGCTGCTAACAATGGTTGCCTGTGAAGGACTGGAGGACGGGATCCAAGAGTGACAGATTTCTCATATCTTTTTTTTAAACTACTTTTTTTTGCCCCTTTAGCAATTTACATGAGTTTGTATATACACATAGTTCTTAATCATTTGTCTGCATTTTTTATGGTTTCCCCTCCAGTTTTTGTTCTCACACGTGCTGAATTCTCACTTCTCAAGAGCCCTCCATAGATTCTGGTGGCCACTGCGGCTCTGCGGTTAATAATGGGCCCACCTTCCTGGCTTCCTCCTGACACTGTCACCCAACCTGCCCCCAGCCCCAGCCCAGGCCTACTAAAAGGGCAGTCGTGGGGGAGGGGGAATCGCGGTTGGTTGCAGAATGGCAGGCAGCCCCCAGTGTTCGTTCGGCAGGATGAACCAGCCAAGTGGATCAAGAATCAGAGCTAGCTCTTCTGTATCCCATCTTGTGACGGATACAAATGATTATTCTTCTGGAGAGCATGTCAAGGCTGAATTCTATCCAGGTATAATGACGTGTATTGTTAAATATCAAAGTGGGAGGGGCCGTGTGCAGGGATTTCCTGGTCTAATCCCTTTGTTTTACACAAAGAAACAGAGACTCAAGGCGAAGTAACTTGTAAGTGGTGACAGCGGGGCTAGAACCCAAGTCTCTGGCCCCTTGATGCTCTAGGGTTAGAACACCAAGGTGTGAATGAGAGATTCACTCTTGAAAGTGAGAGTGAGGTCTCAATCAATGAGCACCTTGGGTGCCAGCTGGTACCTCTGCGGCCTGCTTTGAGGGAAGGTGTAGCGTACCGCCCCCCCCCGCCCCGCCCCAACGAAAGCAGTGTGTTATAGGGCCAAAAATGTGATCTTGGGAAGAGGGGCTAGAAGTGACAAAGCTGGAGCCACTCACTCTTTTTAAACACTAAAACTGAGCAGATGGAACCCCGAGGCAGAAGGGGAGGACCATCGAGGGTTCTTCCAGGTAGTCATGGGCTGGCTTGGAAAATCAGGCTCTCATGCACTGAGCAAGAGAAGGATTCTTGGGACCCAAAGTGTGCTCAAAAACTAGCATCAAGTGTCCACAAGGAGCCTCAGCTTCTAGAACCGGCTTGGTCCTGTCCAGACAGGCGTTGGCAGCTTCCGTTTTCTCACAGGTAACTCCCTCCAGCTGTCCCAGCATAGCCAAGCACCTGCTGCCCAGTGTAGACTTGTTCCCCCACTGACTTGCCTGGGGGCGGGGGCGTGGGCAGCTAACCTTCACCCAGGCCCTGCCCTGAGATGAGGGAGATAGCCCTGGCCTCTCCCCTTCCCCATTCTTCCTCCCACCCCACCCCACCCCACCCCAAACAGGCCCATCCTGAGATACCTGGGAACTGTGAGGAGAATGTAGGGGGTGAGAGGCCAGACTCCTCAGGTAGCCAGAGAAGAACTGGACTGACAGGTAGACAGCCTTATCGTAAACTTGAACATAATATGAAAATTTTTTATTTCTAAGTACAAAGCCAGATACTATAGATTATGAAAAACTGGCCAGAGGCCGTGAAGGACAAAAAAGAAGACTCTCTTTGGCCTGGTGCCTTGTGGCCCAGGGTAGTGCCATGGGGTATGGGTGAGGGGCTGGGGGCAGCAGCAAGACTCTGGCAGGCTGTAGCGGGTGTGAGGGAGGCCAACCTGCCAGCCCCATCTGAGGACCCAGCCCTCTGCTCCTCAGAGCCTTCCAGGACTGGGGACTGAGGGCTGAGGTTACTCTCGTCCTTTGGGGGCCACCAGTTCTCTGGCCTAGACGGCCCCAGGAAAGAAGGGGTGGGGCAGGTATGAGGCAGACGGCAGTGGGTGACGGAGGGAACATGAGCCTTTCTGCATTGGGAAACTACGTTTTTCTGCATTGGGAAACTACGTTTTCTTCCGTGGCTGCAAGTGAGTGTTTCAGGCAGCAGTTGAGAATGACGCTAGTGCACTGCTGCCTCCCAAAGCACCTTCAGTCTCTCTGGCACATCCCATTTCAGAGAAGGTCTTGAGCCCTTGGACAGGTGGACGTGGGTCTGAGACTTAAGGCTGTAGGAGCTGAGGCTGTAGTGATGGGGGTCTGAGGCCTCCTGCAGGGGAGCTAAGGGGAGTGCAGACAGGCTGACAGGAGTGAGGGGTGCTGGTCCCAGGCGCTGTGTTCAGGCACCTCTACTGTGTCTAGGGGACACGGGCGTCTGTGAGGGCTCAGGCCTCTCCCTCCTCCCCACTGCCGTCCACGCTGGCCTGCCTCACCACCTTCCGGAACCTGGGTGTAGAGGAACGGCAAGCCTCCCTCTGCTCCTGCTCCTGCTCCTGCTCCTGGAAGGCCCGGGTCCGGCTGGCCACCAGTGCGGCGCTGTTGAGGGCAACCACAGACTGGCGAGAATTGAGGGCAGGCCAAGGCCCCTTGCGGACCCGCCGGCCTCCCTTAGCCTTTGAGAGCTGAGAGAAGGACCGTGGAGGGTCTTCGTCTGAAGACTCGTTTGATGAGAAAACCTGGGAGGGTGAAAGTATAGGGAAGAAGAGTCACAGGAGGTCCTTCCAGGGCAGGGCCATAGAGGCCAGAGCCTGGGGAAGGGCAGGTGCAGAATGTCTGCTTCATGAACACAAAAACCTGAGCTACGCACAGGGCTGACTCCCAAGGAGCCCCTCGATGCCCCCCGTCCCTCGATGCCCCCGTCCCACGACTGCTCTCCAGCTCCCATGGAAGGCAGCACTTACCCGCCCTCACTAGGTCTCCGCAGCTGCTCTGAAGGGACCATAGGGAGCTGCCCAGGGTATGGTCCCCATGCTCAGGTGCGCCCCCCCCACCAGGGTCGAAAGTCAAGCACTCACTTGTCCTGGTCTTTCTCCATCCTCCCGCCACCTGCTCCCTTCCTCTGGAGGACCTCCACCCAGCCCCAGCCTCACCTCTGGCAGGTCACCGGCCCCTGAGGCGCTCTCCAGCTCTGAGGGGGGCTCCAGGAGGCTGATGGACCTCATGACCCCACGGAGGTTGATGCGGGGCCGTGGCCCAGGCTCTTCTTTTGGAGTTGCCTGGCTCTGCTCCAACCCCATAGCCATCACCTCCCCACTGCCCCCTGGTTCTGGCGGAAGAGGTGGGAATGGTGTAGAGACCTCGGGGGCCAGGGGCTCCTCTGGGGAGGCCCCACCCACTTTCTGCTCCCAGACATGGCTCTGCCGGCTGTGAGGAGGTGGCTCCGGGTCAGCTCTGAGTGACCTGGCAGCCACCCCCCGCGCCCACCGCCACCACCCCTGTCCCCTTGCCCCGCACCATACCTGGCGGTCAGGATGCCCTGGTAGGTCTGCAGCTGGCGCAGGAAGCCGGGGTTGGGGCGGGCGATGGGCCGGAGCTCCTGCACGTGGCGCAGGGCCTGTTCCAGGCTCCAGCCGTACTGCTTCATGGCGTACGCTACCACTGTGGCCGCCGAGCGGCTGACTCCCATCTTGCAGTGGACTAGCACCCGGGTGCCCTGCGCTCTGTGGAGGCAGGACGGGTCAGCCCCGCTTCCCTGGCCCCTTGCTGCGGGCAGGGCAGGCGGCGGGCTCCCCATCCGGCAGAGGAGCAGGAAGGAAGGACCCCGAGGGCCAAAGCAGCCAGGAGGAAGGCATGGGTGCACAGCTGGGCTGGGGATAGCCCGACCTGGCGGCCTCCACAAAGCGGTGTGTCTCCTTCCAGTGGGGCAGCAGCTGGGCTGACTCCTCGTCCCAGAGGCGCACGTTGTGGTATACGAAGCGCTCGGGGTAGAAGTTGTCGATCTCTCGGGCCATGTTCAAGATGTGGCTGACCCTGCAGCAGGGATTGCAAGGCCGGGCTGACGTGGCCGAGGCCCGAGGCCCCAGGCCCACAGCCCGCTGCGTGTGTGTTTAGTTCTTCTTTCTGAGTCAGGAGGGGGCAGCACAGTTATGTTGGGAAGCTGCGATGACTGTGGCCCTGGGCCAGTCACCCCCGCGGGGCTCGTTTCTCTCCAGTCTGGGTAGTTGCTGGCGGCACTGCGACAGTGACCTGTCTGTTATTCTCAGAAGGCAGTCCGAGACCGACCTCTAAGCTACACTCATGGGGTGGGCATGCAGCAGCTGGCTGACAGACACCGTAGCAGGCTCCCCAGAAGCCCACGGTGGACAAATGACAGGAACCTATGGGAGCAGGCAGCCGGGTCCCCCGGGAGAGGGGCACTCCCATCTCCCCTTTACGGCATGGGGAGGGAGAAGAGTGGGCCAGGGAGCCGCTGCAAGCTGGCAGGGTGGCTGTTCTCCCGGCCGGCCTCGGGGGCGGGGTTGGAAGCAGAACTAACGGCTGCTGAGGGGACTCGGGGGGTTTCTGGCTAGGTGGCCCCTTAAGGGGAGGCCGAGCAATGGGGAAGGATGGGGTGCACAGTCGTGGGGGCCCGGAGCCCTGCCTGTTTCTCTGCAGCTCCTCCAGGTTCGCCGCATTCCACTCCGAGCCCTAGGGACAGGGAGGGAAGCGTCATTCTCCCTCCGCCCCGCTGAGGCCTCCTCCTCTCCCACCCCTCCCGTGCAGCTCACCAGGTAGAGGTGCGGGAAGATTCGGGAGGCCCGGTCCTGCTGGGCCATGAGCAGCAGCATCTGGTTATCGATGAAGTCGCGGTACTGTTGGAGAGGGCGGCCCAGCCGCAGCTCCAGGGCCTGGCGGATCTGCAGGCGGGAAGGAGAGGAGAGGCTCAGGGGCCTCTGAGGACAGTCCCCTGTCCCATCCAGACAGAGGGGCTGAGGCCAAGCATCTGGGAGTGGCTCAGGACAGGAGGAAAGCCAGGTGGGATGGCTCCAAGGAGAGTAACACCCAGGGCCCCAGTGGAGGGTCCCCTCCAACCCATCCGGGCCCAGCTCACTCCCCAGCCCCAGCACCCAGCCCACCTCCTTAGAAGTGATGCTCTCCAGGTCACTCGTGTCCAGCACCTTCCACAGCTCGGCCCGGATGGCCTGCTCCATCTGCTCCTGTTCCAAGGGCCTGGGAGCCGAGCCGGTCAGTTCAGGGTCCCCTTTCCCACTCCGCCATAGCACACCCCTTCCCCCCAGCTTCCACCCCTCCCTGCACTGACCTGCCAGGCTCGGTGCTGGGAGGCCGCAGAGACTCCAGGTCGGCCATGGCCATCCACTCGTTGAGACAGCTCTGGTCAGAGTTCAATCTGCCCTCATAGTGGCTGGCCCAGGTGAGGGCACTGCCCCCTGGCACAAGACCACTTCCTAGAGCCACCTCACATGCCTGGTGCAACACCTGGAGTGTGGCCCTGGGGCAGAGGAAAGGCCGGGTCACACTGTCCTCCCTGCTGCCCCTCCCCAGACCCTGCAGCCATCTCTGAGGAGAGGAGGCCCGTCCAGAGCTGGACCACCCCCGCTTACCACATGGTCTGGATGGAGATCGGCTTGAAGATCCGGCTCTGCCCACCAGACGTCACACTGAAGCCCCTGCCGGAGACCAGGCGTGGGTGGAACCCCACTCCAGGCTCTGGGACAGAGCCCCTGAGAGGCCCGCTCACTAACCACCTCTTGAGGCTGGTCCTCAATATGTACACATCATCTGAACTTCAGAATAAGCCCCTTTTGCCAGATATGGGGCAGTGACTTGCCCAGGATCAAACAGTGACTCTCAGGCAGAGCTGAGAGCAGCCCCAGGCCGCAGACACCCAGCCCGGCGCCCCTGCCCCACCCCACGCACCACACTTGGCCACTCCACCCTCCCGTCCCTCCTCTCTCCTTTCTCCTCCCTCCAGTTGCAACCTCTTACCCGTCTCCATCTAGGTACACCTGGGTGTCACTCCAGAGAGGCAAGACCAGGCCCAGGGTGCAGCTGGGGGAGCTGGCAGGACACAGAGGGAAAGCCATTGTCCCCCAGCGCTTCACCTCCTAGCCCCCCTCCCTTCCTCTCCCTGCTCCCACCTGCTATCAGGGAAGTCCACCCCCAGGAGGACTGTCTCATCCTGGCTCACATGATCTGTTGTGGAAACTACCAGCAAGTAGCGGAGCCGGGGGGGCCGTGCTGCCTCCAGCTGGGCTGCCTGGAGGGATGGGGAGAGAGGAGCCCAGGGTCACAGTGGCCCAGAGGACCCCACTTCTCCACCTGTACACACACCGGGCCTAGGACAGACCCACTGCCACGGGCTCACTCCACACCTATCCCCTTCTTCCCAGAACCCAGATCAGTGGTTACATTCCAGTGGGTTCCAAGTTCTGGATTTCACGGTCCAACAAAATGTTTAAAAAGGTTTTCCTTAAAGGGGGTGTGTGTGGAAGAAGGGGAGAATGAGCCTGACATAGATTGCCCGTTTTTATTTCTGCCTAGGAAGGAGGTTAAAAAAACCCTTTCACTTGTCATTGCCATCATTTCATTCAAGAAACATCTCTCAGCAAAGAAACATTAAGAACACAACCTCACAGTAAAAAGACAGCTTCAGTGGAATAAATTCAGCCTTACGAAAGACTACATCTTTTTTTCCCCATTTTGCTGCGGACAGTGAGGAGCCCCACAGGAGCTGGGCCTCCCACTGCCACCTATGTCCTGTTGCCCCATGGGCCCCTCCAGCACACCAGCTCCCGGTGGGTGCTGGGCAGGCCCCCTGAGCACCGGTCCATCTACGGACAACTCACAGGCAGGAAGGTCTTGCTGTGGCTGCGCAGAAACAGGCCCCTGTGGAATCCCAGCTCTTGGGCCTCCCTGGGCCCTGCGGGCTCACGCAGGACAAACCGCCCTGTCCTTCCCCAGCCCTCCAGAGACCTGAAGACAGGCCCTTGCCCTGTTAAAACAACTCCAGCTGAAACGGCAGGGTTGCAGGGCTTTGGATAACTGCTTCACGCCCCAGGGTGGGCCCTGCCCTCACACACTGCGCTCTGTCCTCTCCTGTTCCCACCGCGGGGCTCTGGACGGCCACTCACCAGGCGGATGTCATCCTGCGGCCTCAGCAGCTCTACCATGAGGTGGAGGTGCTGTCTCTGCTCCTGCTTCTGGGGACTCTGCAGCCCATGCCTGTCGTCTGTCTGATCCCTGTGGAGCTGCTCTTCCCCTGGGGCTTCCTTCGCTGGCTCGTGGCTGGGCTCAGCTGCATCTCCACTGTCCCCTCCGTCCTGCAGTCCCAGGACAGCCCCATGGAGCACTGCAAAGCTCTGCCTGTCAGGGCAGTGGCGAAACCGTTATGACCTGTCGTACCCCTTAGGGCAGGGGCACGTCAGAATCACCTGGAGGGCCTGGTAAAACAGGTGTTGGGCCCCGTCCTAACAGTCAGTAGGTCTGGAGTGGCAGCCCGAGAATGTGAATTTCCAACCAGTTTCCAGGGGGTGCGGCCACCACACTTTGAAAGCCACTGCCTCACAGGCTCTCAAGCCCCTAGCCCATCTATTCTTATCTGAGGGGTCTGGGGGGTTGCTCCCTTTCCCTTACCACCTGTCTAATTCAGGCCCTGTTGTCCCATCCTGTCCTTTGGCTTGTGACCACTGGCCTGAGCCAGGCTCTAATGTAGTGGGTGAAGGAGCCCCAGCTGACCAGGGGTAAGATGAAAGCAAAGGCAACCAGGTGAGCACCGCAAGCCGGCCCACCCGCCTGCCGTTCCCACTGGCGACACTGCCCCACATATCCAGTAGTTGGCTTTGGCCGCGAGCCCTCCATGACGGCAGTGGCCAGGCCCGGCGGCTGGATGACTGACTGCGTTGAGGCGAAGCTCTCACCTTCGTTGGAGCCGGCTTCTCCGCTTGGAGACTTGGTCCTGCTGGGAAAGGGGCCCCAGGGTGCAGTGAGGATGGGGAAGGTCTCTCAGGTATGCTGGGGTGGGGGGATCACCTCCAGAGAATGGAACTAGAAAAGGTGTCAGATACCCTTCCCACCCTTGTCTACTCTCCACCGGAGGCACTGGGGGGTCCTGGGCCCAGGTCTAGCTAGGAAAGCAGGGGGTTAAAGGTGGGTGGGGTGCTAGTGTTTGGCACAGGTCTGGGCCAGGAGGGAGGTTAGGCCTCCGTACGCTTGCGCTCAGGGAGCTGATTCTTGACTCAGTCCGAGTTCTTGGGCGTCTAGGGACCCCCCAGCCCCCTCTAGCCTGAGCCTTGGGGTCCCCCTCCACACACCCCCAGGCTTGCGGGACGGCTGCCCCTGGGCAGGATGCGCTTCCCCCAGGCCCAGCAGGCAGCCAACTGCGTGGGCAGGACCACAGCAAAGTGAGACTCACCGCGGGCCCCACAGGTGTGGAGCAGCCACTGGCCGGGGGCGAGCGGCTCACTGTTACCAGGGCCATGGGCCAGGCCGGGGGCACCTGGGCCAGCACTGGGCACAGAGCCCTCCCACAGCCGCCTGGACAGTCCCTGCCCAGCAGGACCAGGAAGGAGAGAGCGGAGCCACCAGGGCCTGGCACCTCCTCGGGGGCGGCCCTTAAAGGGCCAGACACCCCTCCAGCCCAGCCGGTGGAGCCAACACCAAGTGGCCGCCGCCCCTCCCCTGGCGTCTCCCCAGGTTCTGCCCACCTCCCCCACCACCGCCCACCCCCCAAACACGTTGGGGGCGGAGCCGAGGCTGGGCGCAGGTGCCAGCGAGGCGACCAGCAGGGAAGGAGCCGTTGGTATGGCAGCTTTCCGTCTGCGCCCGGCTGGGGTTCGGTCCTTCCTCCCAAGAAGCACACCTGGCCCTGCCCTCCCTGCCCCGCCCAGTTAGGTCACCTGAGCTCTGCTTTGGGCCTCAATTGTTCAGTTACCCAGCAGAGAGGGGCCCTAGGGAGGCAGTTGCTGGAGGACACAGGTCTTGGATAGGATCAGACGCTGTGCGTCTTAAGTGGGGAGGGGCACCCCAAACGTATTTCTCCATGCTGGTTGGCCCTCATGCTTCCACTCCCTGCATGAATCACTGGGAGACATGCAAAGCTTCAGGGGAAATCAGCTGGGATTTAGAACCCGAGGCCCACAGGGGATCCTCAGGGCCACCCTGGGCCTTCAGCGCAGGGCTGAGCAGGGTCACAGCTGCAGCAGGGAGGTGACTCGCCCAAAGCCACTCCGATAGAACACGCTGGAATAGGAGCGGGAGCCCAGGCCGGGGGTGCAGGGGGCTCTGGCTGTAAGTAGTCCGAAGGCCAGCCTTGCCCCTTCCCTGGCAGGAGCATGAGTGGGTTCTGGGAAAGCCAGACTGGGTGGCAGGTGAAAGCTGGGTCTCCAGTAGGTGAGACAGGGCTCAGGAGCACCTCCTCTAAGGGCACTGGGCACATGTTTCTTCATTTTACCTCCCAGAAGCCATGGGGAGTGGGAGGTGGTCTCATTTTACAGCTGAAGAAACAGCCTCAGAGAGGCTAAGGGAGCCACGGCCAGGATTCGAACCCCGGTCTCAGGCCATCGCCCGTGGTCTCCCCTCAGCGCCCCACCCCCCAGTATTCCCCCATTGAGCGGAGCAAGCCTGCTGCTGAAGGTCTCTTTATTTCCATCTTGGTCTCCAGCGCAAGCCCACCCCCAGGGCTCCAGGCCCCAAACTCAGCAGCAGACAGTTTATAAATAAATAAGTTAGAAAAGCGGGTGGGAGAGCGGCCCAGACAGCCCTCCCAGGCCAGGCGCTCAGTGCTCTGTGAGCGAGAGCCGCAGGATCCGCTGCAAGTCTTCCTCTTCCTGCTGCCCTCGCCGCTCACGCTCCTCCTGTTCCCGCGAGGACAACTCCAGGGCCAGGCGGAGCTGCTCCTCAAAGCTTGGGGGCGGCAGGGCAGAGGGCGTCCTATGAGGGGATCCCGGACCCCTGGGCTCTGTGGACATCCTCAGGCTTTCCTGGAGGGCCCTTCCAGGCAAGGCGTGAGAGGGAGAGCAGACCAGTGAGCACCAAGGCTCGGGGAGGAGGCCAAGGGCTGGGACATGGCTTCGGAGGACAAAGACAAAGACAGGGTGGCTGGAACCTGGGAGACCAGAGAGAAGGTAGGGCCCTGTCTCCCCATCCTGCATGCTGCCTTCAGTGGTGGGCAGAAATGCTGATGGAGAGTGACCCTGAAGAGGGCAGGGGTCCTGGGACCAGCACCTGCCTGCTACCCACCCTCACGAGCCGAGGACTGCTGGCTGGCAGGTCCCTGAGGCAGGGCAGGACTGAGACATGGACCCGATAGGTCCCAGAGGGCCTCACCGCTCCAGCTGACGCTGCTCCTCATACGCCGTGGCTTGGGGAGGAGGGTGGGCACCAGGCCGAGTGTTGGTCAGGGCTTCCCAGACAGTCACCTACGGCACCAGGAGCCCAGAGCTGTCACCTCTGCTGGCCCAGTGCCCAGCCAGGGCCTAGCCCTACGTGTGCCCACCTGCTCCGCCTCCGTGCCCGCCTCGAGCAGGCTCTGCTGGATGGCGAACTGCAGCAGGTCGTCGTCTTCGTCACGGAGGGGCTCACTGCGCTCCGCGCCCAGCACGCTGTACCCCTCAGGCACCTCGAACACAGCGGGGTCCACCTCACACGGGAAAGGGCTCCCTGGGTGGCAGAGGGGCCACACTCAGCCCCCAGGACCCAGAGGCCAGACGCCGTGCCACCCCCTCCCTCCCGCACTGCTACCTGGAGCTTCGACAGCAGAGCCAGGGGCCGGCACCCACACTGAGCTCAGCGGCTCGTCACAGCCACACAGGTTGCCGAAGGTGATGCGGGCGTTGAGCACGTGGAAAAGGGGAATCTCTGGGAGGGAAGCCAAGCCTGAGCTGCTGCAGCAGGGGCCCACCTGTGCCTGGCCCCCGCGGCCGCGCGTACCCCAGCCCCTGGGGCCGCCCTCTCACCAATCTTGACCGGGAAGCCGGGTGGGAGGCGCAAGGTGATGAAGTCTCGCAGCTTGGCAAAGTGAGCATTGCTGATGGCCATTAGGTCGATGATAGGTGTCACCTGGTCACCCAGGGACAGCGGGTGCTCCTCACTCAGCCACAGTGTTGCCTTGAACCTGCCCAGCCGACCGAGGACGTGGGCTGAGGAACCTCTGGTAGCCCCTCTGCTAAGGCCCATTCACTCTGGACAGCTGCCTTTACTCACGCCCTCCGCCTGGCCTGGGGCACCCTCCTCTCTGCTCAGCTGCTCCTGGCCGCCTCCCCGGGAGTGTGTGTCCTTCTGGCCCTTTGGCCTGAGCTGCCCCCAGACCCTGGGTCCAGACTAGAGCCTACAGTGGTTTGTGCCAGCTCAACCTGTCTAGACGAGGGTGGGGCTGGGCTGCCGGCTTCAGTCTGGGCCTCATCTGCAGCCCTGTTCTCAGCCCACAGCTGGCCAGCGCCTCACACTCTGCCATACTTTGGGTTCCAGCACAGACCAGGGGTCAGGACCGACGGGGTTCGAATCCACTGGGCGGCTGAGAAAGGCCACAGCAGGTCCCCAGGAAGGTGCTGGGCCCATCGTAAGCCGTGTCATGGGCCATCAGACCCTCACGGTACCCCTGTGGGGAGGCAGCCAGTGCGACTGTTCTCATTTACTGAGGAGACGCTCTTGCAGGGGGAGACGTTTCCACAGGCCGCAAAGCCAGGAGGTGGCAGAGCAGCGGCCCCTTCCCACTCTGCAAGCTGGCCCCCCGCAAGTATGCGTTACACTGAACAGAAAACGATACATGGGTGGTGCTGCCCACTCGTTCATTCACTCGTCAAAGAACAGCGACCAGTCCTCTGGGCCAAGCCCCGAGCTGGGTGCCCAGGACCATGGATAAGACGGACCCGGCTCCTGCCCCCAGGAAGTGGAGGAGGGAAACCAGCTGGGTGAGTGGGGCCCCCATTCCGGTGGGCCCCACGTGTGACAGGAGTCTGCTAGGGCTCAGAAGAAGCAAGCAGGGTCCCTGTCCTTGAGGGCAGTCTCCAGCCAGCCCCCTGACCTCACCTCTGTACTTTGCTGGACATCTCGATGGGGCGGCCGATGTTCCGCGACTCCAGGCTGAAGTTGGGGTCAAAGTATTCATCGGGGGAAATGGCTGTGGGGTTGGTGGGGCTGGCTGCCTGCTGCACGGGAGCCTGGGTAGGCCCCGGGACCTGGCTTAGCGCTCGGGATGGCGCCTGCCTGGCCCCGCCCAGTGGCCCCCAGCCCCTGACCCCCAGCCCTGGCTCACCCCGTTGTGGGAGGAGTGCTGCTGGGCCATCCCGAGGAAGGACTGGAATGGAGTCTTTCCCCCTAAGGAGAAGGGTGGGAGCCATGAGGGGGCTTTGGGCCACTGCCCCCAGACTGCCGCCCTCCACCCTGGGAGCCTCTTGTCGAGTGGGAGACGGAGCAGATAGCAATGAGGTGGCCTCCCAGCTTGCCCCAGATACTCTGGCCCGCCCAGACCAGGGCGACCCCACCGCATGGAGTAACTGGGCAGGAGGCAGGCGCACCTGGGTTTACCTTTGCTCCTCGACTTGTCCTGATCAGACAGGTGCTCTGTGCGTGTGCGTGTCACCAGCTCCACATTGGTGGCACTGTACACCTGGGGAGCAGGAGGAATACAAGGGGAGCTGGGGGCTCAGGGCCTGTTCCCCATACTCAGCCTCACCAGCACAGGACCCAAGTCCTCCTGTCCCCAGGAACAGATGACATCTCACTCCCCACAGTGGGGGTGGCAGGGTCTGAACCCCGGGGAGTCACTAATGAGAGGAAAATGGTCCTCGTTTCATCTTGGTGTCTTGGGCGGGGGCCCAGGCTGGGGGCCCGTGCTGTGGGTGATCCCTACGTGCTCGGCAGGGGCTGGGTGCTCAGGTCCCACTGAGTTCCCACGGCCGCGCAGGGCTTTCAGAGCCCACAGGCTACTCTGTCTCTCCCTCCACTTGGGTGGCTGTGGAGAAGGGGCGGAGTTCCTGGGCCTTGTCTCCTACCCAAGCCCCCACCACCAGCCTCTCCTGCCTTGGCCTCGTAGCCGCTAACGGTTTCCATCTTCTCAGACCGCCAGCCCCAGATACCACATTTGTTCCTGAAACAGACCAAACGGGAGCTGGTGAGGACCTACACCCCTCAATCCGGGCCAAAGCCTTCCCTTCTAAAGACCCCCTCTGATTAGCCTTCTCACTGTGAGGCACGCAGGGGCCTTGAAGAGGGTGCCTGGAGAGCTGGGACAGCTGGACATGAACTGGGGACTAGAGATTACTAGGGAATTACTGTTAATTTTGTTAGCTATGTTAATGGTGTTGGGGCTGGGTTTAAAAAACACCCTTATTTGGCTAGAGTCATGTGTGGAACCATTTAATGGTGAAATGATATGGTATCTGGGATGTGCTTTGAAACAGTCCAAGGCAAAAGAAAAAAAGATGAAGGATCAATTCAACAAGATTGGCAAGATGTTGATAAAGGCTGAAGTTGAGTGATGAGTACATTATACTTTTCTCTCTTCTTTCCATAATGAAAAGTTAAAAATAAAAGTATGTCTGACTCAACAATAATAGTTGGAGACGTCAATACCCTATTTTCAATAATGGATAGAAGAT